AATGATTACCTCAATTGATGCAAAGAAAGCATCTGACAAAATTCAACATCCCTTCATGATAAAGACCTTCAGCAAATTAGGTACAGAAGGAAAGTATCTCAAAACAATAAAAGCCATATACAACAAGCCCACCACCAATATCATCCTGAATGGGAAAAAGTTAAAATCTTTTCCCTTAAGAACAGGAAAAAGACAAGAATGCCCACAATCACCACTCCTATTTAACATAGTATTAGAAGTACTAGCCAGAGCAACCAGGCAAGAGAAGGAAATAAAGGGCATCCAGATTGGAAAAGACAAATTGTCTCTGTTTGCAGATGACATGATCCTATATATAGAAAAACCTGAAAACTACCAAAAATCTCTTAGAGCTGATGAACAATTTCAGTAGAGTTGCAGGATACAAAATCAACACCCAAAAATCAGTTTCATTTTTATTCTTCAATAATGAACTAACAGAAAAAGAAATCAAGAAAGTAAGCCCATTTACAATAATCACCAAAAAAAAAAAAAAAAAAAAACCTAGGAATTAATTTAACTAAGAAGATGGAAGATCGCTACAAAGAGAACTACAAATCACTATGAAATAAATTAAAGAAGACACAGAAAGGTAGAGAGACATTCCATGCTCTTGGATTGGAAGAATCAACATAGTGAAAGTGTCCATACTACCCAAAGTGATCTACAGGTTCAATGAAATCTCCATCAAAATACCAATGACATTCTTCACAGAAATGGGGAAAAAAAATCCTAACATCATATAGAACATCAGAAGACCCCAAATAGCCAAGGGAATCCTGAACAAAAAAATAAAGCCAGAGGCATAACACTACCTGACTTCAAATTATACCACAAAGCTACAGTAACCAAAACAGTATTGTACTGGCATAAAAACACATGGACAAATGGAACCAAATAGAGAACCCAGAAATCAACCCACATACTTACAGCCAACTGATCTTTGACAAAAGCAACAAGAACATACATTGGGGAAAAGACTGCCTCTTCAATAAATGGTGCTGGGAAAATTGGACACCCATATGCAGAAGATTTAAACTAGATCTGCACTTCTCACCATTTACCAAAATCATCTCAAAATTGATTAAAGATAAGTATAACACCTGAAACTATAAAGCTACCAAAGGAAAATAGGGGGAACTCTGCAGGAAGTAGGACTGGGCAAAGACTTTATGAATCAGACCTCAAAAACACAAACAACAAAAGAAAAATTAAATAAATGGGATTATATAAAACTAAAAAGCTTCTGACAGCAAAGAAAACAATCAACAGAGTGAAAAGACAACCTACAGAATGGGAGAAAATATTTGCAAACTATACATCTGACATGCATTAATATCCAGAATACCCAAGCAATTCAAACAACTACACAATAAAAAAACAACCCAATAAAAAGTGGACAAAGGAGTCGAATAGACATTTTTCAAAGGAATACATACAAATGGCCCACAGGTACTTGATAAATGTTCAACATCACTAATCATCAGAGAAATGCAAGTTCAAACTGTGCTGAGGTATCACCTCACACCTGTTATACTGGCTATAATCAAAAGGACTAAGAATAACAAATGCTGTTGAGGATGTGGAAAAAGGAGAACTCTTCTACACTGTTAGTGGGACTGTAAACTAGTACAGCCACGATGGAAAACAATATGGAGGTTTCTCAAACAACTACAGATAGATCTACCATACCATCCAGCAATCCCACTTCTGGGTATATACACAAAGGAATGGAAATCATCATGTTGAAGGGATACATGCACTGCCATGTTCATTGCAGCTCTATTTATAATAGCCAAGAAATGAAACGAACCTAAATGTCCATCAACAGACAACTGAATAAGGAAAATGTGGTATGTGTACACAATGGAATACTACTTAGCCATAAAAAAGTAATGAAATTCTGCCATTCACACCGACATGGATGAGCTTGGAGAAAACTATGTTAAGTGAAACAAGCTAGGCACAGACGGAGAAATACTGCATGTCCTCACTCATAAGTGGGAGCTAAGAGAGAAAGAAGGCAGGAAAGAAAGACCACATTGGAGGTGCAGAGGGAGAGAACAGACCTAAGGTTGGAGGGGGGAAGGGAAGGGAGGTTGGGGAGAGGTTGGGTGGAACACACAGGAAATAATTGCAACTTGTGGTAATGGGCATGCTGATAGTGTTGATCTGATCATTACAACTTGGGCACAGGTGGTGATGGTCAGCTTTGTGCCCCATAAATATGCATAACCAATAAAAAGAAATTTTAACAAACCCTCCCCCCCAAATTAAATTAAATTTAAAAAATAAGCTAGACAAATCAGTGGTCCTTAAAATAGAATTTGGTTGAATTGCAGTTTATTTTCTTTTAAGAAAAGCCAAATATTGTACATGATTTCCCTGAGTTTTAATCACTTAATTTTACTTTTTATCTTTGCATCTCTTTAGTTGTCACTTTTTATACCCAGAATAAAGAGTTCAAGCCAGATCAAATGTTGTGTGTACCCTATTTTCCTAAAATGAGCTTCGTACAATCCAGAGAGGCTCATTTTAAAGGCCTTTTTGCTTCTGGTTTCCTTGAGGGCTAATTGCACATGTAGGGGTACAAATTATATAATTGGGACATTTGACCTCTTGGAGTAGCAGCAAATTATTGGTATTACCTTTTAAAATGTGTAATAGTGGTTCATCACCCCAATTTCAGAATTATTCATCAGTGCACTTCTCACACTCTCCCCACAGAAGACAGCAGAATACTAGCTTTGAAAAACAGCAGGAATTA